GCGGTGTGGGTAGGTGGTGTAAACAGTTAATGCTTGGGCTGTTGACTAAAAGGTTGGTGGTTTGAGGTCACACAGAAATGCTGCAGAAGAAAGGCCTGGCAATCTTTTGAAAAATCAGTCCTTGAAAACCCTATGCATCTGAGTCCACTCTGACACACATGGGTCGCCCTATGTTAAAATCGAATAGATAGAAAATACTTTTAATGCCACATTTAGTAAGTTTTTTGAGGCAGTACTTTCACACTATGTTGATGATGTTCTGTTCCTCCTCAAAAATCCTATGTAAATCATTTTATGTATCTACATTTACATGAATTCACGGAAAGGTATTGTTTACTGCCTTCTTGTTCTGACTGTCTGACTTGGCCAGAGGGGACCCCTTTACAATAATTTGTGTGCCCTTATAATGTGTCTTCATTAATCCTCAAGAACAGGAGCTGAAGGAAACAAGGTCTTTCCTCCACAACTGACACAGAGGGCCTTCCCCCAGAGCTGGTATCCTAAAGGTGGGCTTCTAGCTTTCTAAACTGTAAGAGAATGAATTTCTGTTTGCTAAATACATTGAGTTGTGATATCACCAAGGCTGTAATCTTTACAGAAGCCAACTCTGTCCCTCATGGAGCAGCTGGTGGGTTCAAACTGCTGACATTTTTGAGTATGTGACTATTGTACCACCAGGACTCCTTCTATCCAGTAGCACTAGAGGGTTTACCTTTCATCTTTCATTGAAACTCTCTTGAATGCCAGTGAGAAATCTGTCCTCCATTATTCTCAATATATTTACCTGACCAATCCCTGTGTTAGTAACTGAGCTCCATTTTAGCTGTCATTCCCAACCAACCCTGTACATCTCCCTAAAGCCACTTGAACTCTGACAGCCCAAGCTAGACAATACCCTCTGTACCCCCTCTTTGCCCAGGTTGGGCTGTGATCAACAATTGATCCTCAGTCCAACCAGTGTAGATGTTTACTTTTCTTTGTTCCATCTAACAGCTTTTAGGGATCTCTGGTGACATAAGCTTCTAGCAGTTGCACTGTTAACCCAAAGGCCATGTCCCTCTAGCAATTCAAATCCACCAGCAGCTCCATGGGAAAAAGATGGTCATTCTCCTCCTCTGTGATGCGAAGCCTCAGAAACCCGATAAAAATGGTCAGTGGTGAGTCAATTCCAACTTGATGGCAATGAGAGTGAGAGAGGATTTAGGATGTAATTGTTCAGGAGGAGGGGTACAGGAATAGGAATTTATGGGGAAAGAAGAAAAGAAGTGACAGGAGGAGAAAGGAGAATGATGAAGGGGAAGAAGGGACATTTTTTATATGAATACCTCACAGACAAGCAGATTGGGTTTCTGTTTTAAAATGACAGTTTTAATAAGGAAAATATTAAAAAAACCTTAGAAATCAAGTGTTTTCTGGCTGATAGAATGTAACAAAGATTTTTTATTTTGCATATTCTTTCATCATTACAAGTAATATGAAATCTATGTATTAATTTAGTAGATGAATTATCACAGGTGGAAACACAAATTTCAGATGATTTTATATGTATCCAATGACCATTTAATATTTTGTTTACTTTCTATACTTATCTACTTTTGTTTACCTTTCCGAGCAACAGCAAAGCGTTGACTAAAGCAAGGAAGACCCTCAACCAGATGGATTGACATAGTCACTGAAGCAATGAATTCAAGTATGTCAGATTGTGAAGAAAGCACAGACGAGGACAAGATTCAGAACTTTTGTTCATAGGGTCACTATGGGTTGTAATTCACTCAATGGCACCTAACAGCAACAACATTATTCTATCTAGGAAGCTTTGGTGGCCTAAAGGGTAAGGAGTTCTGCTGGAAACCGACAGGCAGACAGTTTGAATCCACCAGATGACTGGGAGAGATCCTTATTTGGTCCCATTTTTTAAAGTGATCCAAAAGAGTGTAGAAATTATCAAATAATCACCACACAAGATAAACAACCCAATTACAAAATGGGCACAGGATATGAACAGACACTTCACTAAAAAAGACATTCAGACGGCAAACACACACGAAAGAATGTTCAAAATCCCTAGCTCTAAGAGAGATGCATATCAAAACAACCATGAGATATCATCTTACCCTAGTAACAATAGCAAAATTTAACAGAACAGTAAACATGAAATGCTGGCAAGCTTGTGGAGAAACTGGAACTCTTATTCATTGTTGAATACATTGGGAGTGTAAAATGGTACAAACACTATGGATGGCAGTATGGTTCTTTCTCAAAAAGTTAGAAATAGAAATACCATTTGACCCAGCAATTCAACTACTGGGAATATATCCTAAAGAAACCAGAACTCCACCAAAGCAGATATATGCACACTTATGTTTATTGCTGCTTTGCTCACAATAGCAAAGAGTTGGAAATAACCCAAGTGTACATCAACAAATGAATGGATAGAGAAGCTGTGGTATGTTCACACAATGGAATACTACACAGCATTGAAAAACCAGGAACTAATGAAATATTATACAAAATGGGTGACCCGGGAGGACATTATGTTGAGTGAAATATCTCAATCAAAAAAGGACAAATACTGCATAATGCCACTGTTATAAAACAGGACTGACATCGGATTTTGGGAGAAACTAAGAAAAGAGGTGATAAATAATGTACACTGTATTGATAAAACAGATGAGGGATAGAACTGTTTAAAAGGGATATATGATTAGGTATTATTTGCATGGCAAGAGTCCAGAATAAGAGCTGCATAGTAAAGTGGACTTGGGGGCAGGGTGGATTGTATAGTTAATTACATGTAGGTTGGTTCATTAAATGTTGTTCTCCCTAAAAAAAAGAAATTATCAAATAATATTATTACTATATCATGAAGAAATAATCTTGGAGATTATCTAAGAATGACTGGGATATTACATCCATAAGGAAATTCAAACTGGAGTCAAAAGAAGTCATGACATAAGGGATATTATTGCTAATGTTGGATGGATCTTGATTGAAAGCAGAGACTATGAGAAAACGACGAAAGGTATATAAGTGTCCAGGTCTTTCATTCATAGGATCACTATGAGTTGTCTATGACTCGACGACACCTAACAGCCACAATAGATCCTAACAAATTAAGACAATAAGAATGAGAATCCCAGAACACTTAATTGTGTTCAAGTAAAACCTTTACATAGATTAAGAAGTATTAGTCTGAAGAGAACAAGGAAACACTGAGTGATTTAAAATTGGGAAATATGTTTGTCAGGATTGTATCCTTTCTCCGCCCTATTCAATCTGTGTGCTAAGCAAATTATTTGAGAAGATGGATTATATGAAGAAGAATGTGCACAAGAATTGGAGGAAATCTCATCAACAACCTGCATATGATAACACAATCTTGCTTGCAGAAAGTGAAGAGAACTTGAAATACCTGCTGAAGAATATCAGACTACAAAAAAAATTAATTAAAAAAAGAATATCAGACTACAACCTTCAATATGGATTACATCTCATCCAAGTCAACAAAGATCCTCACCATCATGTTAAATGGAGTAAAGATTTATCAATTAGTTTTACTTGGATTCACTATCAGCACACATGACAGCAGCAATAAAGAAATAAAAAGTGTTGCATAGGGAACATCTGCTGTCAAGGACCTCTGCAAAGTGCTAAAGAGCAAGGATTTAATTTGAAAGACTAAGGTATGCCTGATCCAAGCTGTAGTCTTTTCAGTTGCTTCCTATGTACCTGAAAGCCGAACATTAAATAATGATGACACAAGTATCGTTGACTTTGAATTGTGAATTTTGAAAAGTGCAACCAGAGTCTTCTCAGAGGCAAGGATAGTGAGTGAAGCTTTAGCTCACTTTTGGGGGCATGTAGTCAGGAGGGAGCAATCATTGGGAAAAAAGACATCATACGTGGATGAGAAAAAGAAAGGAAGACCCTCAACATGACTTAGTGAAGGTAACCATGGACCAGAGCATATCAGAGGTCTGAGGATGGCAGATGGGGCAAGGTTCAGATTTGTTGTTCATTGGATTGCTATGAGTCATAGCAGACTCCAACGGACCTAAGAACAATTCCTAAGAAAACACCACCACAGGACACTGGGCCCAACAATGACACAGCCACATATGACCCTGTTAGAAATTCAAATTCACTGCCATGCAGTCAGAATAGACTCCTTTTTTTTTCAAATTTTTAAAATTTTATTTTAATGTTTTAAATTATTATTAATTTTAACGAACATTTACAAAGACTTTGGATTCGCTCTTCTCTTTGAAAAGTAAAAGAAAAATTCTTTCCTTGTTATACAATCTCTCCCCCCAAGTCCACTCCACTATGCAGCCTTCGCTCTGGACTCCTGTAATGACAATAATACCTAATCATATATCCCTTTTAAACAGTTCTCACGCTCATCTGTTTCAATGCAGTATACATAATTTATCCCCTCTTTCTTAGTCTCCCCCCAACCCCAATGTCAATTCTGCTTTACAACAGTGGCACTATTTGAATAGATTCTTACAGGGCTCTATGAGAAAGATAGTGGGAACTGGTCCAGGCGCCCGGTGCAGGTCGGCCCAGCTCAGGGCTCAGTGTGCAGTGTGGCCCGGGGGGGGGAGGTGGGGGTTGGTCTAGTCCCCGTACCCCGATGCAGGTCGGCCCGGTCTGGGGCTCTGTGTGCGGCGTGGCCCGGCGGGAGGTGGGGGTTGGTCTGGTCTGCGCGCCCTGGTGCAGGTCAGCCGGTCTGAGGTTCCGTGCACGGCGCGGTCCGGCGGAGGTCAGCCTGCCTGGGGCTCCGTGCGCGGCGCGGCCCGGCGGCCACGGGGGAGGGAGCCGAGCCGGAGGGGCGGTGTCGGGACTCCCCAGCAGAACCGAAAGCAGCAGCCGCCGGGGGCGGGAGCGGGGGCGGGGACGGGGACGGCGCGGGCGGGCGCAGGGCGAACAGGCGGGCGGAGAGCCGGGAATGCCCGCGGTACTGGGCTCTCCAGCCTTCTGTGGCTCGTGTCCTGGCGATGGCGCTGCGTCTCGTCACCACCTTCGACCTCCAGAAGGACGTGCTCCCGAGGCTGCAGGAGCGGCGGGCTGTGCCAGTGGTCACTGGGGCCTCAGGCGGCGGCACAGGTGTGGGAAGCGCGTGCAGGGTGGCTGCCTGTTTGGGGAACTACAGGGGCCCTGAGCCATTCATATTGGGATTGGGGGGCACCGGCCAACTGGGAGCAGCCTGTGGCCCCTGCCCACTTGGCGGAAGGGGTGGGTCACCCTCCCCGTGGGCTTGATTTCGTTGGCTTTGCAGCTCTCACCCTTGCCCAGGGGTGAAGTTCAGAGGTCCAGATCGTGGACAAGGTCTTGGCTGGGTTAAAATGGTTTTCTACTAAGTGTTGCAGCTTCCTGACTTGCCTGTTAAAGTAATTCCGCCACAGGCCGGAGGCTGCAGAAAGTAGTGGTACCCTCAGCATCACTCATGTAAGGGAGGGTTAGAGAGGGGTAGCTGCGGGCCAAGGATGCAGGAAGACGATCCATCTCAGTGCATCTCTAGTCTGGTATTGGACTCCTACAGGCTCAAGTTATAAAAAAGAAAAGGTAACTGCAGCCACTATGGAAACATGTAACTATGTAAGAGTTGCACAATTAGTCCTCTCGTTTGTGGAAGTGTTTCTGCCTCTGTGTGAACGGCATCAGTGATTTAAGGGACAGAACATGCCTCAGGTTATGTCCAAGGGGACAGCACCAGGCTTTGAGCTTCAGCCTTGTTCCATGATGCTCTTGTCCGACTCCCTTTCACCTTCTCCAGCACCATTAAGCATACTTACCTGTGCAAGGCAGCCAGTGGGGGCGTGGGACGAAGTGATGCTCAGATTTTCAGCCCAACTTTTCCAAAGTGAAATGGAATATGTGCCTAAGCGGTTGTCTTTTCTCCTGTCTCAGAAATCCTTGTTTCGTTTTCGGTGAAAGAGAGAAAACTTGCTTTCTGAGTCATCCTAGCCTTTGTTTACTTCAAAGAAGGGGAACTTGGTGGTTTCTTACTTTTCTTTTTAATAATAGATTACATAAATGATGGACTTAAATTTCACTTTAAGGCAGTGATGCCTCAGGGTCCCATGTCTTACCTTGACTTTTTTTCCTCTGTCTGATTTTCCTTAAACACTGTCTTAGGGGTATTAAGTTACTCATATCTCAACTTCTTCCCTTCTGAGCCCCTTCAGTTGCTAATGTGAATCTTTGCCCTGTCCTCTGGCATTTTGTTGTTATGTGCCACTCTAGTTGGAACCAACTCATTGCTGACCCTTCAGCAGGTTTTCAGAGACTGTAAATCACTTGGGAGGAGATTTCCAGTCCTTCAACAAATATACAGCTGGTAGATTTGAACCATTTGTCTTTGGATTGGCAGCTCAGCGCCTTACCACTAAACCACCAGAGCCTCCAATGTAGTAGAGTTACTTGGAGCCCTCAGTGTAGTAGAGTTACTTGCATATTGGTTGTTTCTAATAGTCATACGTGCTTGTGTGACAGGAGGCTTGAATTTGCTGTTAATAGTATTATTAGTAAAACTTCGTGAGTGGGATGGAATGGTGAGAGGAAATTTCTTAAAAATATCCCAAGTGTCTAAAGGTATTTGAAGGTTTTTTTTTAGAAACAAAACAAAACTTTAGACGTTTCCAAGTCTGTTTTCCCTCACAAAGTAGTCTTTGGTTTGAACTCATTTTGTATGAGTAAATGACAGCGAATGATCTCTTAGAAGGGTGAAATGCCACAATCATGTATCTCAGTAACATGAGTCGTGATTGAAAAGCTCTGTATAAACCATTTGGGTCTTTGACTTCCTTTTATCTTTCATTTGTTTGTGAAGAAATTGAAATCTGTGTGTTGACCTTTCACCACACAATAGATAATTTGGGTCCTCAAAGAACAAATTTACTAGAAATGCTAGCTTTTCTGGTATTAGTAATATTTTGTTCCTACAGAGCATCTTGGCAAGTTGTTTGCCCTCTTATGCACACTAAAAGAAATTGCTGCCTTCTGTATTCACTTGTGGGTGATGGTTCAAAAGAACACAGCCTAAGCGTCTCAGTTTCTCTTCTGCTATGATTTGCTGCACTGGTAGGATAATCTGTGATTCTGATTTATTTCTAGGACAGCAGTTACTCCACACATTTGTGCAAATTCTTTTCCTTTCAGAGTCACAGCTTTTCAAATGTAAATGATGAATAATTACACCATTGTGATGTCTCATCCTTGCAGCTTGCTTTGGAAAGCTGAAGCCTTAGTATTTTACCATCAACAAATACAATTGAAGATTTCTGAGTGGTGTTAATGATCATGAAGTATGACATATTCTTGGCAAGATAACCAGTGAGATGTGCTACATCAGCTGTTGAGATTCAGTGTCTGTAGGATAGCTTTTAGTCAACAAGGGGTTGCGGAGGAAGGAGATCACATTTGGTTACTGCTTCTACTGCTTCTTTATGGTTGAATTTTGAGACAATGATCTCTCTTGGGATGCAGAGAAAGTAGTATTTAAAAAATGAAAACAATTATATGAAAGAATATTTTAGTAAATGTAAACTATGAAAATAGCAAAAATAAAGTTATACACTCACTGTCAGTCCTGAAAAGTAGAATCAAGACTTCTGAAGGCACTTATGTGCCCCTATGTGAAGGCACTTATGTGCCCCATTCGATGTCCTTAAAACCCCAAAGGTAACGGCTATTTAAACGTTTATATTTTAGCATTCTTTTGATTTTGTTGAAAGCTTTAACCCATATCTCTCCAAGCAATGAAATTTCATTTTGCCTATTTGTAGATGAAATGAAAGTATAGCACCATGTATATTGCTTTAGCTTTTTTTTACCTTAATATTGTGAGATTTCTCCATGGTGGTTGCTGTAGGTGTTGACTGTTCATTTCCACTCTCATAATACACCCCAGCGTGAATCGGGACAAGCTGTTCTGGTGGCACAATCTGCAGAGAGTTGCTGCTAATCCATAAAATGCACCTCGCTGGTGGTTTACATCTACAGTCAGCTCTGTGTCGGGGCCATGGCTAGTGAGGGATTAAGGTGAAATATCAAGGTTCTTTTGACCCAACACAGCTCATCTTGAACAAGCCTTTTATTTCAGCGGTAGAGTGTATCTTGTGATGCTTGACTTCTCCCTCTGCAAAATTTTGCTTCCTTTCCCTCAGCTATTAATCCCACTTTATTAGATGTACTAATCCCACTTTATTAGATGTACTAATCCCACTTTATTAGATGGAGAGAAGATTGAAGTTGTTAACAATTTCATCTTGCGAGGATCCACAATCAGCACCCTCTTCCAGCATCAACAGTCAGGAACTCAAAAGAAGAGTTGCATTGGGAATATCTGCTGTCAGGAACCTCTCCAGAGCATTGATCTCACTCTAGAAACTAAGATTTGCCTGATCCAGGCCATGATCTTCCCAGTCATTTGCTCTGTCTGAAAGCTGGACAGTGAATAAGGATGACAGAAGAAGAATCAGTGTCACTGAGTTGTGTTGTCAGAGTAGAGTATTGAGCAGATCATAGACTGCCAAAAAAATAAGAAGAGGGTGAAACCAGTTTGTTTCTTGGAGGCGAGGATTTTGAAGCTCCAGCTCACATACTTTGGACATGGGCTCGTCCTTAGAGAAAGACATCATGCTTGGAAGAGTGGAGAAGCAGTACAGGAGAAGAGTACCCTGGATGAGATGAATTGACAGTGATGATGGCAATGGGGTCAGGTGTGCCAGAGCTAGTAAAGTTGGCTGAAGATAGAGCAAGGTCCAGAAATGTTATTCATAGAGTTGCTATGAGCAGGAGTCGACTTTATGGCACATAACAACAACAATAACTATCTGAAGCTTTGGTGGCCTAGTGATAAGGAGCTGCACTGCCATCCCTGAGGCATGCAGTTCAGATCTACCAGCTGCTCTTCCGGAGAAAGATGGACAATATCCTCCCAAGCCAGAAACAAGACAGAGGATGAGCTATGAGCCAGTTCCAACTCCATGCACAGCAACAAACAAGTATCTAGGGTACTCTGGGAGCCGCGTGAGTCATAAGGAGTTATGCTGCCAACACAAAGGCCAGGGGTTAAAACCCACCAGCTGCTCTGTGCGGCTAAGGTGAGCTGTCTTCTTTCTTGCAGTTTACAACCTCTGAAATCCCTGTAGAGAGTCAATCCTGACTTGACAACAAGTGAATGAATAAACACTTTGAAAGGTCTTCCGTCTGTTTGCCAATTTTTTAATTTTTTCCCACCTCTTTTCCTTTCTTGCTGTTTCACTTGGATCTGCCTGGTTCTGCCTGGTGGCCTTGCCCTGGGCTCTGCTTCTGCCACTCCACCTCCATAAGCTGTTCCTGTGGGTCTCACTTGGCATCACCTTTGGGGTCTGGCTGCTTCTCAGGAAGCAGGTCTGGGAAGGTGAAGGTCTGCCTATGAGCCAGCTGGACATAGGCGACCTTGTAGTCCGGCTTTTTCACCCACATGTTTCTGTTAACTCATGTCCTGTTGGAACGGTGCTGCACCCGCGTCTGTGGCTGCCACTGGCACCTGGTAGAGGCTCTGCAGGTAGTTTCTAAGCTCCACCCTGGTAGTTTCCAGCGGGATCTGGAACTGCACAGTGTCATCAGGCTGGGCCGTGCCAGGTCGCACCAGTTGGATGAAGAAGTGGGTTCAGAATACACGGAGCTGTGGCTCTCTGAGCTGGCACCTTCCACGCCATGGTGGCCACTTCCCCAATTTTTTAGGTTTTATTTTTAGGGGTTTTTTGGTGTGTTTTTTTTTTTAATAGTCCCAGATTCTAGGTCTTTGTCTATTATGCTGTTGTTAGGTGCCATTGAGTGACCTCTGACTCAGAGTGAAGCTATATACAACAGAACAAATCCCTGTCTGATTCTGTGACATCTCTCCAGTGCCCGTTTTTGTGGCCACTGTTCCCTCCATCTCTTTGCGGATATTTAGCTTTTTAACGGCCTCACTACTTTTCCAAGTGTAATATCCTTCTTCAGGGACAGACCCCTCCTGATTACTGACCTAAAATATATGCAATGAAGTCTTACTATCCTTGTTTCTAAGGAACACTCTGATGGACTTTTCCTAAGACATTATTTATTTATTCTTT